AAAGGGCCGTTTGTTTTGAGCATTTGGGGGTTTTTGATGACATCATAGTCCATAGGAAGCCTACTCAATACTGAGGGTTCGTATAACTGAGGTACGTAAAAATGAGATTCTACTGTAAATGGGGTAAAAAAACACCAATATACAGTACTGGATTTGTTGGTTGGCTGTCCTTACCTTCCAGGACTGAGATTCTGTGTTCAAATCATACAAATGTCAAGATTTTTTCAAGACTAAACAGTAAACACAATTTCAATGGTCCATTCTAATGTATTCATAATAAAGTAATTAAATGGTTCATTTTAATGTATTTATAATAATTTATTTAGCAAATAACTCAATGTTGTTGGAAATTTGCATGCTTTATTGCATTTTTGAACATAAAAAAGAGAGAAACAACAATGAAACTATTAATGATTAATATAAAACCTTATTAAAATGCTGTGATTGTATTGATTTATTGGGTTGTAGACTTACCGGTTTACAATGGGCGTGGATTTAACGAGAGAGTAACGGACCACAGATGATGTACCCTCCTCCACCTTGGGGGTGGTGCAGTATTTTACGGTGCTTGACGACACTGGCCCAGGTGTGCCTAGGAGAGGTTTTGGAGTTGCACAGGGTGTAGTGTCCATTCTTTGTGAGTATCTGATTGTGAAATCTTGTAACGCTGATTTCAAAATGTCAGTGGGCTGCCAAAAGAAAAGAATGTGTTATAACACAATGGTTTTTTCAAGATTTTTATTTAGTTGGGCTTTGGGCAACACTTTGGCCTTATTACTATTAAAAAATATTTAATTCTTGTTACAGTATTCTGAACATAAGTTAGGGTTTATCTGTATCATACAAAGGCATTCCTACCTTTGCTTTGTGATCAATTGCTTGTTCATACAAAGCGAGGACATGCTGCTGACCAAAACCAGCCCTCTCAGCGACTTTAGCTCGACAAACCCAAAACAAAGCTCTACTTCTTACTTGAGGGCAGCGTTCATGTAACTCTTCTAGCCAATCACCAACTTTGTTTTCATTCTTTATCTAAGATATTAAAAGAAAAATCAAAAGTATGTTAACTGACCAAAAAGTTTTT